GATATCCTCTTCCAATTCCATGCCAAGAATGCTGCGGCAGCGAAGTTGCAGCTATGGAGTCATGGGGTGCATGCGTCTGCGGGCCGTCCGAAAGTACCCACATTTGGGCACCATCTTGGATGAGAGGGGCAGTCTTGGGCCTGTGGGCGCACATCGAATTGCGGGCACTGCCTCCTCGGCGCAAGTCCGGGACGAAAAGGTTTTCAAGGTGGCCCCCCAGAGCTCCGAGGCCCCCAGCATGAAAATGAGGTTCGTGGACTCACGACTTGCCTCCTCGTTCCTCTTCAATGCTGGCACGCGGTGTAACTTGGAACGCGGTGCATGCAACAAATTTAGGCACGCGATATTGCGAATATGCCGCGTTGCTTGCGGGATGTACCAGTGTGACGACAACACAGCAGCAGCACACGCAGTTCTAACTACGGTGCGGCGCTCCGGCTTGTTAGGCCAATTACGTATCCACAGGTTGTGTCTCCTGGGCAGAGTTCTTCATTTCGGTTCCGACACGCTCACAATCGAATCACCACCACGGCCTATCGGGCCTACGCGGGGACCAAGGGAAAACATCCTGGCTACACCACATGGTGGGCGACCTGGTCTGGCTCCGAGGCGCGTGCCGACCAGTATCTGAAATGCCCGACCCGAGAGGCGACTTTGCCCTTGGGGAGCGGCGCGTGCAGACCTCCCTCTCCGCATGGAAGCGCCTTCTCAAGGAGGCCGCTGCAGGTTCAGCGCAGGCAGATGCGAACGCCGCCATGGCATACAGAGCAGAAAAAACAAGTGTTTCTCCATCGTGCAGATTAGCGGCTTCCCGCTACCCATCACAGACCCTGACCTCCCATTGCGCAGAGTCGAGACACAGGCGACATCAGATCGTGCTTGCCCTTGGCGCGCCGCCACCTTCGAGAAGACACGAGCACTGCGACAGCATATCGTACATAACCACTTCCGAATGGCATCCCAGGTTGAACCTTTCATGGGGAGCGGGCAAGAATGCCAGGCATGTTGCGCGGAGTTTGCGTCTAGAAGACAACTACGCGACCATGTTGCTGTCGACTCGGCCAGATGCTGTCTGACATGCATGTGCCATGGGCCAGAATTGTTGTTAGACCAAGCGTTTCAAGCAGCCGAGGAGGACCGTGTTCTCGGCGCCAAGAAGAGAAACTATGGTCTAGGAAGATGGCGATCAGCGTATCCAGCCACTCTAGGTACTCAAGGAGCCCCATGGGAGTCCGCTTGGGTTTTCTCGAATTTCTCGGAGGACGAGGCCCGACAAGTCTGGCAGGAAACCCATTGCGAGTTCCGCGCGGAGGCCCTTCCCACATTACTTGAGGCCTGGCAGGACTCCAACGAGGCACCACCACCAGACCCACCACAGGCTCAGTATCACGACAGGTACTATGTATTCAGGTGCAACGATTTTGGAGGCTCATCTACTAAGGCTGTGCCATACCGCCTACGACGACCCGAGGTATTCATATTTAATCTCCTCTGCGGACGCCGGCGCGAAGGAGATATCCAATGGTATATTTCTGACATGCAAGCCACGTCCGACGTCCAGATCACCACTCTGTCGCTGGACATCGCCATCGATCACATCATGGGAGATCTTGCCAGAGCTGCTACCATCGACGAGTGGTCCGAGCATATCCGACACCACAGAGCATGGGTCACTGGAGGCCCCCCCCCTGTGAAACATGGAGCGCAGGAAGGTGGAATGACGCCGCCCCCCCCCCCCCCCCCCCCTCCCCCCTTTTTGAGAACGCAAAAGCACATGTGGGGAGCACCATGGTGTTCTGAAGCTCGGCGCGAACAAGCTCGCGCAGGTAATCTTTTGCTCTGTACCATCGCCCATCTGATAGCCGAGCATGTCCGCGCAGGCACATGCGGATGGATGGAACATCACCCGCCAGCTTTATGGCGCCCTCAGGCCCCGTCAAGTTTTCAATGGATGCCGTTGCGAGCCCTCGAGAGCTCCCCGCTGGTCAGTACCATTCAATTTGACCTATGCATGCACCAAGACGAGGATACTCAATGTCACGGCAGAGGTGCTACCAGGCTTTTGGTGCTACGGTTGCCCGGCCTCTATCGCCTTCTCCAGGCGAGAAGCGATGGCTTTTGTGATCACGGAAGAACTGCTCATATGTCTCTAGTGGGCAAGAATGACGATAGCACAATCAAAACGAGCAGCAACAAAACCTACCTTCCATCCATGTGTCGGGCCCTGGTTGCAGCAATGTTAGAGGCTATTACCCAAGCAGTCCAGACAGATGCTGAGGATCCTCCAGAGGCAGCAGCTACCACAGAATTCAAGGACTAAGTTCTTCGCAGATTCTACGCGCCGTGGTCTGACCACGACCAGTTCTGGGAGGCTCCCGACTACGCCGGTGCCAAAGAGAACAAACGTAAAGTGGATCCTGAGTGTTGGAGATGGGCCCCTCCCGTCCCCTCTCCAGTTTCCCCCGCCTCCGCCTCTCAGGCGGTCTCTCCCGAGCCCCGCGAGGCCCCTCGGTCCGAGGCCCCCGAGGATCTGTGGCCGCAGGAAGCGGCGCGCGACCTCGAGGCCGACGAGGAGGCGGCTGCCTTAGCCGACTTTCCCCTCCCTCCTCCTCCCCCTCCTCCGCCACCACCTCCTGCTCAGCTCGCGTCTGAGCAGTTGGAGCGCATGCGGACGAATCGCGCTCAAGCCAAAGAGCGCAAACGCAAACGCTTGGCGCCGTGGCATTTCGAGGCCATTCTGTGGCCTGAAGGCTAAATCTTGCGTTTTGCCTTTTCGGCCCCAGGGTTAGAAAGGCCCCTGCGGGCTTCACAGGCATAAATCCTCCATCAGAGACAGAGCACGACCCAGCGTCACAGCCAGCGTCCGACCGACCTCCTGTGTCCGGGCGGCACAGGCTGTGCTTACCCCGCCAGCCAATGTTTCTGAGAGGCATTGTATCTCATGCAAGTGTTACGGCCGTACGCTGATACACGATCGTTTAGGATGCGACGGAAGTTTCTGAAATGCTGCGTTGCGTGTGTTGGCAGATGCTGGGCGCGCTGCCGTTGGCACCCGTCCTCCGCGTCGCCGCTTCTTCCTCTTCCCCGCTTCGCCCCCTCTTCGGCGCCCCTCCGTGGGCCTCGGCTTCTGTACTTGTTGGTGCACGCGTGCATGTAGCGGGTGCTCCGGCCGGGCGGGCCCCTGCTACTCAGCGAGCTTCCAGCGTCCGCCGGCATGAGTCGCTTTCAAAGAGTAGTACGAGTTCGGGTTTTATTTTCGTTCCGGTGGTTCCCTCCTTTCGCTCCTGGTTTTGCCCTTTTTCCTCCGTCCTCCTTTCCCTCGCGATGCGCCGGCGTCACGGCCGCGATAAAAGACGGCATTGATGGCCAGGAGTCTTTGTCTGGCCAGCGCACTTCGTCGCGGAGCTATTCACCTCGTTTGCGCATCGAAGTCTCGGGAAATCCACAGCATGCGCGAGTTGAGCGCCCTCGGGTTTTTCATTTTGTATTTGAGCTCTCGTCCTCCTCCCTCCCGCCTCTTGTTTATTCTTCTCTTTTTCGGTTCCCCTCTCTCTTCTCCCTGTTTGGCGGGCCATTGCGCCCTGGAGCCTTCGGCCCGCATACCACACCAAAGGATTCGTTCACCAGATTCCCTTGGCAGCCGGAGTGTGGAGCACTTCAGGCATGCAGCGTTTTCCGGCCATTCGCTGCGTGGGAAAAAGTTTCACACAGTATGGATTGTGGCCGACACGATTTGCTGTCCGTTGTGCTGTTTTGGCCGGACCTCGGGGTCCACTTCGCGGGCACGATGAGATTGCCATTGGTCTGCTGAGTGGGTTGGCGTCCTCTTGGTTGGGGTAAATAGCCATTGATTATTGAACGACGAATTGCTCAATTGATGAATCATGTTGTGCTGTTGGAGTCGTCGTGCACAATCTGCCCGGGGGGTGCCCGAATTATTCGTCAGACTCTTGAGGATGTCCCGGGCGAGTTGTCGAGGACAAGGGACGGCTGGAAATTCATAGCATCCGAGCTGTGTTTTTTCGGGAAGGTGCGTCTCATATTTTTATGCATAAGCCGCCCCCGTCCCACCACAGACACGCACAGGAGTCACGCCACGCAATTAGACAAAAGTTGCGGACCCCTGTGGGGGCCAGAAACCTACAACATCTTATCAGTAATGCCGATGATTCGGGCTTACCTGGCATTCTGAAGGCCAGAGAAAGAGTGCTACCATGGCTTGTGACGGGTTGCCACATGGCCCACAATTGCTCCAAGACGGCCCGAAATAGCCCCAGTACGGCCCAAGAGCCACCCAGGACGGCCCAAGTTTTTTTTTCAAAACGGCTCAAGAGTGCTCCAAGAGGGTCCCCAAGAGGGCTTCCACAGGCAAAGCGCGCTGATGTTCCTTAGTTTTTGGCTGATGTTAGCGCTCTTGCCGTCTCGGGCTTCCGGCGCCGCAAAATCGTGTCAGATGCTTCCACGGTGGCCCCTAAACAGCCAAAAAGCTTCCCCCAAAGGAGCCTGGTCCCAACGTGACCCCATATGCCCCTAGGCAGCCCCCAATACGCTTCCGATGTTTTCCAGTTGCAGTTGTCGTGATTGCCTCCGACTCTGTCATTTTTGGACTTCTTGGGCCTGCTGGGGTCATTTTACAGTTGTCCTTTGTCCCGATAGGGGGTGTTTTGCTGTCGTTGCCGGTGCCCCATCAGGTTCACGTGATAGAAAGCGAACAGGACTACGATATGCCAGCAATTTTTAATGTCCTGGCTCGACCGCAGGGCGCATTCCTTTAGGACTTCAAGAGACGTCCACGACGCTCCCGAAATGGCCCAAACGGCTTCCAATGTTATCTCACGGGTGCCGCAGACGCTCCCACGATGTCTCCAAGACGCAACGCTTTCGATTTTTCTGCTTCAGCTGGCAGTTTTTCGGCTGCAGACGGTTTTGCGTGTCTGCTCGTGGAGCATATCATAGGGAATCGTCATAAGCTGTAGTTGGCCAGCGTGCCACGGAGGGAGGTTCCTATCCAGCTCTTGCAGGGGAAGCTGCAGGTGCACGTCGCCTACGCGGCATCCGCGCCGGCAAATGACACCAGCAAAGGCCAGGCTTTGTTGAGGTTTTGAGCGACAGCATCCGACGTGCACATTCTCTACCGTGTTGTTTTGTTCGGCGCAGTTGTGGGGCCACCAGCGCAAAGCGGGTTGATGATAATCAGTGATGCAGGAAAGTTCGGTGAGAGAACGCGCATTCTACCGGGAACTCTCTATTTCGACCGTCTTTTTGTGTTGTTGGGGTTTCTCCCAGGTCGTGGAGTAGATGTGCACGTGAATCTGCAGACGCACCGCCACAACATGGAACACGCAGGCTCCCAGCAGGATTGCCTGCACACATCCGCATCATTTCCTTGACAGCCTCTGTTTTGTTATTTTGCTAGTGGGATCACGAGGCTGATCCTGACACTGCTCCAGCGCCCATGAAACCACAATACATTCCTCGGGCCTGTCCCTTGTAAGAGTGTTGTGGAGAGTCTCGCGGAATCCATCGTGACGCGCGTCGCCATCTCTCGCATGCGTTTGTTAATTGCTCTTTCCTGCAGTCGTGCACAGCTAGACGTGGTTTGGAAGTACCAAGAGCATGGTAAGTTGAACTTCTGCAGTCGCCCAGGAAGTGGAGCGGCCGTTGCTGCAATGTTATCTGCACCTGCATCGCATTGATAGAAAAAGGTGTAATGTTAGCCGATGTTTGAGGCCCTGAGCCCTGGTATTGCACGAGTAGGGCGAGCGCACTCGATAATCCTTGCGATTGTGACGGAGGAGGCCCCTGTGGAAGTGGACCATGATCATCTAGCCTGCGACATGGCGGAGGGGCCTTGATCATTGGAGGGCATGGTTCGTAGCGGGGCTTCTGCTGACCACAGGGCGCTCTATTCCACCTTCCCTGCTGATTCCCAACGTCAAGCGTGGAAATGGAAGCTTCGGTTTCTTCTTTATGGAGTGTCGTTTCGTTGGCAAACAGGCTCTTCCCGCAGTAACATCGTCGTTTGTGCCATCGACGGGCATCTGTTTGGCGGCTGAAACTTAGTTCGTAAAGAAGTATCGAAGACGCCTAAGGCGAGCGAGCCTCCGCCGCTTCCTGCCTTTTTGGGAAAACCCCAACGTCGGGCCCCCATCTCGGTTTTCGCTCCCGCTTCATACTCCCCCACTTTTTGCTGGGGAGTGAGGCCTTCACTTCGGCGCCCAAGCCAGCTCCCCAAACCGGTAACATCGCTCTCCCTTCGATGCGTTTTCGTTTTCTATCTCCAGAATGGGGCCCTTGTCTCAGCGCCTTAAACAGGTTCCCCGAACAACAGTAGCAACGCTACCGCTCTCCATTTTCTTCCCCACATCATGAATGGGGTTCTTGTTTTCCTGCAACACATTCTCCTTCTCCTGCAACTCTTTCTCCCGCCACCTCCCTGCGATACTACCACTACGACGGTTAACATTACTTCGATGACGACGACGATGACGACGACGACTACTATTATTACTACTACTACTACTACTACTACTACTACCCTACTAACCTGCTAACCTACTAACCTACGATTACTACTACTACTACTACTACTACTACTACTACTACTACTACTACTACTACTACTACTACTACTACTACTACTATTACTATTACTATTACTACGACTACTACTATTTCTATTACTACTACTACTACTACTACTACTACTGCTACTACTACCTACCATTACTATTGATACTGCTGCTGCTACTACTACTACTACTACTACTACTACGACTACGACTACGACTACGACTACGACTACTACTACTACTACTACTACTACTACTACTACTACTACTACTACTACTACTACGACTACTATTCCGACTACGACTACGACTACGACGATTACTATTACTAATTCTGTTACTGCTACTACGATTACGACTGGGGCTACGACTGCGACTATTATTACAACCATTTCATGCTATTGGTATCACTACTACCATTATGATGACTACTATTTTTCCCCATATCCTAGGATGGGGTTCTTGTTATTACGTGGACGCCTCCTACTTCCTCTTCCCCTCCTCCTCCTCTCCTCCTCTCCTCCTCCTCCTTCGTCCTCCCCTCCTGTCGGACTTACTCATACTCAGACCCACACATACTCAGACCTTCTCAACGCACGGCAGGTTGTGAGGATGTCTCAGGCGGGGCGTTGGTTTCAGCACCCCTTAGGGGGAGCCGCCAGGGGGTATATCGCGGGCCCGTTCGCGGCCAGTTTGTGGGGATGTCTCAGGCGGTTTGCTCGTTTTCATGTCAACATCCTTGGCGTTCATAGCAGATTGTGAGGATGTGTCAGGCGGGGCGCCGGTTTCAGCACCCTAAGGGGAGCCGCCAGAGGGTATATCACCTGCCCGTTCGCGGCCAGTTTGTTGGGATGTCTCAGGCGGTTTGCTCGTTTTCGTGCTCAACATCCTTGGCTTTCATAGCAGATTGTGAGGATGTCTCAGGCGGGGCGCTGGTTCCAGCACCCCTAAGGGGAGCCGCCAGGGGGGTATATCGCGGGCCCGTTCGCGGCCAGTTTGTGGGGATTTCTCAGGCGGTTTGCTCGTTTTCGTGCTCAACATCCTTGGCTTTCATAGCCGATTGTGAGGATGTCTCAGGCGGGGCGCCGGTTTCAGCACCCCTTAGGGGGAGCAGCCAGGGGGTATATCGCGGGCCCGTTCGCGGCCAGTTTGTGAGGATGTCTCAGGCGGTTTGCTCGTTTTCGTGCTCAACGTCCTTGGTTTTCATGGCAGATTTTGAGGATGGAGGAAAGGGAGAGGAGGAGGAGGAGGAAGAGGAGGAGGAGGAGGAGGAGGAGGAGCATGCGTATGCACATCTGGGAAGCTCCGAAGTTACCGCAGGCTGAGGAGGGCACGACCTGGCAGCTGAGGAGGGGGAGTGAAGATGAAGAGGCTCATGTTCAATAATACTCAGCTTACTCTGACTCCTACTCACTCACTCGCATCAGGATGCACTCGTCTTCGTCGGGCTATTACAGTCAAGCGCTCATGAACAGACGCGCGCTACGGCATACTATAAAACATGAGATGCGCATATGGGGAGCTCCACGAAGTGAGTAAATCTTTTTATTTATAACTTCTACGAGTTCCATTGTTGCTCATAACCTTTATGGGTTTAGATCGCGTGCTACTAGTGCTAGTATGTACGTTGTTCGTTTTGCGAACGCTATTATTACTACAGTGATGACAGCGCTTTCTGCTTCTATCGCTTCTAACTGCTAGAACCATTTCTATTTATATTATCAGTAGCAAAGCTATTAGTCTTACTATTATTTTTCGATCACTACTACTACTACTACTACTACTACTATTACTACTACTACTACTACTACTACTACTACTACTACTACTACTACTACTACTACTACTACTCCTACTCCTACTCCTACTCCTACTCCTACTCCTACTCCTACTCCTACCCCTACTGCTGCTACTACTTCATCTACTATTACTTAAACGATCACTACTATTACTACTATTAGTTTCTATTATTACGACTACTACTAATACTACTACTACTACTACTACTACTACTACTACTACTACTACTACTACTACTACTACTACTACTACTACTACTACTACTACTACTACTACTACTACTACTACTACTACTACTACTACTACTACTACTACTACTACTACTACTACTACTACTACTACTACTACTACTACTACTACTACTACTACTACTACTACTACTACTACTACTACTACTACTACTACTACTACTACTACTACTACTAATACTACTACTACTACTACTACTACTACTACTACTATGACTACTACTACTACTACTACTACTACTACTACTACTACTACTACTGCTGCTGCTGCTGCTGCTGCTGCTGCTGCTGCTGCTGCTGCTGCTGCTGGTGCTGCTGCTACTGCTGCTACTTCTGTTACTACGGCTACGATTACCATTACTACTACTGCTACGACTATGACTACTACTACGCCGTTCCAAATGTTCGTCACTTTGGATGTGAGCGTCAAGATGATTCAGGTTTCGTCCGCTACTTCCGCGCGAGCGGGCGGGCAAAGGCTGCCCCGTGTCCTGACCGCGCCAAGTTGCCCCCCCCCTCCGCTAGAACCATAGCGGGCTAGGTCCAAACCGGTCGGATCAAATATCCAGGATTTCCAAATCAAGAACTTCTTCCAGTTATCTAATAGTATATGTGTATACTAGATTGCATTGGCGTTTCGCGTCATGCGCTTTGTTCCGGATGCGTCCCTGGCAAAGCAATTACCCTGCGACATACCCAACCTTTTTTACACAGGTGGCGATTATATTCAGGACCGCTCAGTGCAAGCCTCCCAGGGAGCTGCGAGGCTCCGAGGTGGTCCGCGTGGGACGTGCCTCCGCTGGGCCTCCCAGGAGCCCACGAAACTGGCGACAATGGCGCAGATCGCAAGCCCCCCAGGGGGCGGCGAGGTCCCGCGGTGGTCCGCGTGGGACGTACCTCTGCCGGGCCTGCCAGTAGCCCGCGAAAGTGGCGACAGTTGCACAGAACGCAAGCCCCCCAGGGGGCGGCGAGGTCCCGAGGTGGTCCGCGTATGACGCACTTCCGCTGGGCCTCCCAGGAGCCCACGAAAGTGGCGACAATTGCGCAGATCGCAAGCCCCCCAGGGGGCGGCGAGGTCCCGAGGTGGTCCGCGTATGACCCGCCTCCGCTGGGCCTCCCAGGAGCCCGCGAAAGTGCCGACAGTTTCGCAGATCGCAAGCCCCCCAGGGGGCGGCGAGGTCTCGAGGTGGTCCGCGTATGACGCACCTCCGCTGGGCCTCCCAGGAGCCCGCGAACGTGCCGACAGTTTCGCAGATCGCACGCCGCCCAGAAGGCGGCGAGGTCTCGAGGTGGCCCGCGCATGACGCACCTCCTCCGCTGGGCCTCCCAGGAGCCAGCGAAAGTGGCGACAGTTGCGCAGATCGCAAGCCCCCCAAGGGGCGGCGATGTCTCGAGGTGGTCCGCGTATGACGCACCCCCGCTGGGCCTCCCAAGAGCTTGCGAAAGTGGCGACAGTTGCACAGGTCGCAAGTTTCCTGGGGGCGGCGAGGTCTCGAGGTGGCCCACGTATGACGTGCCATATTTCCAGGCGCTCGACGCTCGCCGCGCAGCGCCTGAAATACCGCTACGCCGTTGCAGAAGTTTCTCACGTGTTACGGGGGCGCCGAGATGATGCAGGTTTTATCCGTTACCTCCGCGCGAGCGGGCGGGCGAAGGTTGACCCCTGTCCCGACCGCGCCAAGCGGCCCTTTTTTTCTTTTTAGAATCCCAGCGGGCTGGGCCCAGAACGGTCGGATCAAATATCCGGATCCGGGACTTTCTCCAGCTATCCAATAATATATATATATATATATACACTTTGAGGACGTAACATCCCGACGTGATACACGACTTCAGAACTCCTACCGGGCGTGATCTTGCCTTGCCAACGCAAACTGGCGGAAGTTAAATTCATGGCGAAACTTCTTGTAACGCTGATGGATTACTATTAACACTATTATCGTTACCACTCGTAGTAGTAGTAGTAGTAGTAGCAGCAGTAGTAGTAGTAGTAGTAGTAGTAGTAGTAGTAGTACTCCTACTACTACTACTACTACTAACAAAAATATTACTACTGGTATTACTACTACGGCTACGACGACGGCTTCTACTATTACTAGTAGTACTACTACTACTACTACTACTACTACTACTACTACTACTACTATTACTATCTACTACTACTACTACTACTACTACGACTACTACTATTACTACTAGTACTACTACTACTACTACTATTTTTACTACTACTACGACTACTACTACTACTACTACTACTACTACTACGACTACTAATACTACTACTGATACTACTACTACTGCTAATATTACTACTACCACTACTACTACTACTACTACTACTACTACTACTACGACTACTACTACTACTACTACTACTACTACTACTACTAGTACTACGACTACTACTACTACTACTACTACTACTACTTCTACTTCTACTACTACTACCGTTATTATCATTATTACTACTACTACTACTACTACGACTGGTATGATTATCACTATTTCTATTACGACGGCTACAACCATTCTTGTTGCTACCACTACTACTTCTAGTAGTACTGCTACTGTTACTGCTACTGCTAATATTTCTACTACTTGTACGGCTACCACGATTA